ATCATGGAGTGATAGCCTGTCATGTTTGTTACAGCCTGTTGATTAGAAGGAGGCCAACCTCAGTGGTTCATGCCTGTAATCCCAGCACTGCAGGAGCCTGAGGCTGGAGGATAACCTGAGCCCAGGAGTTTAAAGCTTCAGTGAGCTGTGATCGTGCCCCTGCACTCCAGCCACTGCACTCAGCCTGACAGAGCAAGACCTTGTCTGAAAAGAAAAAAAAAAACAAAACAAAAAAGCAGATCACACACAGGATTATATAAAACCATAAATGCCAGGAAGGAGTCCACCTTAGGGTCTCACGGCCTTAAATACTGTCAGTTGTTTTCCTTGAAGTTCATTTTCAAGGAAATGTCTGCAAAATACCCAAGTCTGAGTAAACCCAGTTTGATGGCAGTTGTTCCTTCAAGTAAAAATTTCGTTTTATAAAAAACAGCCAGTTCAGATCAAAATTCATTCTCACAAATGCTTTTTCTGGGGACAACCATTGTACTTTGAAATGCAACAAAATAACTTTATGTGTATTTCCCATTTGAAGACAAAACATTTCTAAAGGGTGAATTTTTTTAATTACTTTTATTCTCTTGTCAAAGACTTTCTTAATTGGAACTGACATTATTTAACTGCAAATAAGTGACAGTGAAAATTGCAATGACTGAAAATTCAAACAGGAAGATTGAACAGGGAAAGTGATTTCCACAGTGAGGGTCTCTATGGTTCTTAGATTCAGTATTTTTTGAGGCTGCCTTGCCTATTTATGGTTATGAGCTCTTTTGTAGATATCAGACTTCTGTATTCAAAAATGACAGAAATAACTAGTTCCTAATATCTTTGAGGACAGGGCATGCAAGTGGATAATAAGATGAGCTTTTTTCTCTTTGTAATTTGTCTTATTTCTCGAATCCTCAGTAGTCATTTTAGTCCTCCTTCTACCTAATCCTTCTCCAGAGTAAGACACCCGGGCAGGATACTTTATTGAGACAGTAATTGTATAGTTTTCAGGTATTTCCCATCTCAAGATTTTGTATGTTACCTTGCCTCAAGGTCCAGTGTGGCTGGGCCAACAACGGGAATTGCCTTCATTTTACAAATCTAGGCACGCTGACATTGTTATGCTAGATCAGTGTTTTTCAAAGTGTGGTCTGCAGGTTTTCAGGGATCCTTGAGATCCTATCAGGGCGGCTGTGATATCAAGACTGATAACAAGATAACAATAAGACAGTTTGTCTTTTACTTTGCTCATATAGCACAGATGGCTCCCTATAAATGGGGGAAAGGAGTCAAATATCCAGCACTATAGCAAGAACCAAGGCACTAACATGAAACTGTACTAGTAAACAATGCAGGGTGTCACTTCATCTACATCTGATTTACAAGTCCTACGGAGTGAGCAGTGCAGGAAGCACTCAGGTTATTGGTACAGGCTGGGCTCACACCTGTAATCCCAGCAGTTTGGGAGGCTAACGCGGGTGGATTAGTTGAGGTCAGGAGTTCAAGACCAGCCTGGCAAACATGGCAAAACCCCATTCTACTAAAAATACAAAAATTAGCTGAGTATGGTGGCAGACATCTGTAATCCCAGTCACTCCAGAGGATGAGGCATGAGAATCACTTGAACCCAGAAGGCAGAGTGTGCAGTGAGCCGATATCATGCCACTGTACTCCAGTGAGATTCTGTCTCAAAAAAAAAAAAAGTTACTTGTATAATCCACTTTGTTATCAAATGCTGTTCAATTTCCACTAACATCTGAAACATGGGATCCTGGTGGACACGTCACCTTACGAAGGCTGTGCATGCATCATTGCGGGGCAGCCAGGCACTGGTGATCAGAATCCTGCTGGGTGGTGGGAGCCGTTTTCACTAAGAACAGCAGTAAGATGCTGGTGGTAACAGGGATATTGATATTAAGCCACAGAGCATGCTTCAGAGACAGAGAACCCAAGGCCTAGCTCTCTGGGCTAGCGTCATGACTGGGGCATCTGCACATAACCCAGACCTAAAGTTACCAGTGCACTTATCTCCTTTAAATCATGATGTTAACTTGCACTACTTTTGCCAGGCCAACTCCAGGGTTTTTAACTCCACAAAAATAAATCAGGATCAGAAAATCCTGTTTAGAGGAGCATTCATAAATATCCAAGAACAGGATCTACACCGGAGTTCCAATTCCAAGCTTCTGTCTTGCCACACTGTTCGTCCGCAATCCATATCCCAAATATCTATGAACACATTTACACTTAAGTGTTTACATGTGGCTAGTGCCTACTTTATTGGACAGCTCAATTCCACGGTCTCCAAAGACAGGCCTTACATCAGTTCCAAATTCCTTACGTTTACCTGCCAGATGATTCCTCTGACCTTGGCCTAGGCACTGCTTTCCATCACTGAGCCATGTGTTTCTTTCGGTATCTTAAACGGGCATGTGCTTCATAATATACCCTAGCCTGGGTTCCCCCAAAACTGAGCCTAAGACAATATCTTATGTGGAGCTAGTTTCTTTGAGAATGTAATGACAGAAAAGGGGAATATGAAATAAAGGGGAGGCAGTGTGAAGCTAAGAAAAGGATAAATCAACATATTACAAAGAATATGTTACTAAGTAGGCAACCAGTAAGGGTACCCGGAACTTGACCTCCAAGTTCTGAGCTGAAAGGGAATTACGTCACAGAAGGGTTTTCCCTAGAAACGAAAGAGGCGAGCATCATCCGCCAGCTCATGTCCTCCATGGGTGAAATGTGGCTGCTAGAGGCTAACGCTGAACTTCAAGCTTGCGTACCCATAAATGCATTACAGATTCTCACAGACAGCTCATGCTGGGGCATCAGAGACCCTCAGGTCAGGAGAGGTGAAGAGAGGCAGGAACCCAGGCAATGTGTGTGATGGGTCCACATAGCCATGGCAGAAAACCAGAGCAAGATCCAGCAGATTTGGAGAGCGCCGAACAGGCCCCCAGTACCATCCACCCGCAAGCCCCGAGCAAGTGCCAGGACGGTGCAGTTGGATGACTCACTGCCTCCTGCCAACAGAGAAGGAGCCGATGGGAAAGACTAAGGTACGTGGGGAGGTCGGACTCACCTTCAGAAGCCACTCAATGTCCCCTCTCTAAAACTAAGGCCAGATGTATCAGCATACCCCACACTGCTAATGAAAAGACAAAGCTTTTCGGAAAGGCAGAAAGAGGCTTAACGTTCAGGCACTGAGTGTGTTTGACTAAACAGGAATAACAGGGTTGGGTAAAATGAGAACTTCAATAAGCTGATGGCAGAGACAATTTTGTTGGGGTGAATGAGGCACCAGTTACAGAAGGGCAGGAGAGAACCCGCCCAGGGAAGGGACACAGGAAATCAGAAAGGAATTTCCTCTAGAACCAAGGTGCAGAATCGAGGGAGAACATGAGGGAGACCCGGATTGATAGAGGAGCAGCAGGTAGCTTCCTCTGGAGAGGAAAATCCCAGGTGGAGCAGCAGGGTCTGGCCAGAGCTCCCTGGGTCTGTGGCTCCTCAGAGGTGGATTTGCTGAGGTGAGGAACTTGGACCCAATCCTGAGAAAGAGCTAAGGTGATGCCACAGTCCAGAGCTTAGGTATGTCAGTGGCCCTGGCCCCATCCCAGAGGGAGGTGGCTGGTCAAACAAAGGCTAACAGAGAGGGAAGGAGATAGGTGTGGAAGGGAGGGGAAGCCTCTTCTTCTTCCTGAATTCTCACCTTCTTCTCAGCATACACCAGGAGGCCTGGGACAGGACAGTGAATCATGTCCAAGAAGCTGCCTTGTGGCTTCCTGCCTTCCTCCCTCCCTCTCTATCTTTCCCATTCCTTCCTTCCTTCCTTCCTTCTTCCTTCATCCTTTTTCTTCCTTCCTTTCCTTTCCTTTCTTCCTTTCCTCCTCTTTCTTTCTTTTTCTTTCCTTCTTTCTTTGTTTCTCTTTTTCTTTTCTTTTTCTCTTTCTTTCTTCCTTCTTTCCTTCCTTCATTTCTTCTTTTGCTATCTCTGGTTCTTTCTCACTTCCTTTCTTTCTTCCATGAACCTACAGCTCTATTCAGGAAACCAATGACTGTCCACTGACTTAGCACCTACGATAACCAGGCAGTGTGTGAGGCTAAAGTAGAACCTGGAGGAAGCAGCTGACAGTGGAGGCTCTGCCTGGGCATCAGGTTCAGGGGAGTCACACAGCGGTGGAGGAGTGGGAAAGGGGGAGCCGTTCACATGCCTGAAATCTAAGGATGTCTGGATTTCCCAAGGGCCACACCTAGTAAGAGAGTGTCTATTGAGGACAACTCTGAGTTAATGACCTGAGGTTCATCCTGCAGTGATCAGAGGAAATGGCTGGTGTATGAATCCAGGGAATCAGCACTCTCCTGTTACTCTGTCACCCCTGGAGAAGGGTACCACAGGATTCAGGGTCTTCAGGGCTGCGCCACAGTGTCACACAGATCTAGTCAATCCTGCCCATCCATCCCAATGACATCTGCTATCCCTGGTCAACACGGCACCTTAAGGCTCCCTTCAGAGTGAAAGCAACGTAATTCCAAAGAAGGCATTTTGCCTTCCGTTGTCCCTCTCAGGTCCAAATCCACTAAGAGATTGAAACTCAGATGATTCACTTATTCTGCACCATCCCATGGCCTCCCAGAAGAACCAGAAATGTCTATTGTTATTTCTTCATCCACCCCAACCATGAAGAAGCCCAATAGGACTAATCTGGCTAAAGATTAGGGCCCAGGCAAAGAGGTATGGCTGTTTCTGGTCCTAGCAGTCTGGAACTTCCTCATGATTTAATTCATTACCATTCAAGAAGCCCATTGCTCACAGCAAGCACACCACAGAGAATGGACAGTGGGTCAGGCCCAGGTGATATCACTGTCAGAGCTTAAGTGACAAAAAGTGTTAAGCCAGAGATATTTATCACAAAAGCTGGAATGAAGGTGGAGCAGTCTTAAAAAAAATCCAATTTCCTTAAGGCAGGGCTCATTTTCTGTATAAAATGCCAGCTAACAAGAGACTCTTCACCAGATCCCAGGCGCTGACCAGCTTGACCTTCTCTGCACAGCAGGTGAGTCTCCCCATTGGGAACATCTTAATAGTCTCCCATCAGTACTTCATTTTGATTGAGGCCTCTTTGTCATGCAATGAATATATTTATTTTAAATGCAGTAGTAACTTTTGTTTTTGGCAACCTTATACATATTTTGACTTTCAACTCAGGTTACAGCTGTAGAACTTGGGATCAGAAAGGGGAGTGATTTCTGTAAAGATTTGTTAAGTTAGCAAGACAATATGCCTCCACTTCAAGAGTACTTTTAGTGACATTTTTATTGTCTCTCCAATACGTATTGAAAATCTTTAATATAGAAGACACTGCATTGGCAATTTTGATGATCAAAATATAAGTTTCTCTTTATTCCATGAATGTATAATCCATCAGAAAACATATGCTTGACTAAAATTTGCAAACATACAGCATGGGGAGGGATTAGTACAGAGGGAAAGCAGGTTCTATGCTGTGGCAAATGAGGAAGGCGAGAGCATCAGGGAGGACAGCCATGAGAGGTGGGCGCATGTGGAGGCAGCAATGGTGTGCAGAGCCTGTCAAAGAGCAGGTGCTGTGGGCAAGTTGTGAACAGAGGCTCAGAGCAGCATTGTGGGAGGCTTGAGGGGAAGTTTACACAAGGGTTTTCCTGGGAGAACGATGACATTCTATGAGGAGGACATGAGTGAGTAGATTCTAGACTGTTGACTTTAACATCTTTCCAAATTATTGAAAACCTGAGGTCTCACATCAATATTTAGCCGATGACACACAGCCAAGGGTGGTATTAAAGGTGATTTGATCAGGGCAGAGCAAGAAACAGGCATTTCTTTTCACTCGAGTCTTCAGGTGAGCCCTGAGCAGCTGAAGACCAGAAAAGCCACTAAGACTTTCCGCTTAATTCAGGGGCTTAGAAGATTCTTCACAAAGTGTGTAAGTGAAAGCTTCATAGTATATATTTGCATATTTGTATGTGTTTCACATTGTACGTAGGGTTTTTAGATGTACCAGGAAGAAAAGAAGCACAGAGAAAGTCCCCACTTACAGGATGTGGAACAAATAAACTTTACATGCTTCCCTGGAAGATACGTGGGGATCATCAAAGCATCCAATGATCTCAAATTCAGGGAAAGAGAAAGAAAAGAGAGGCTCTCAGCTCTGAAGGAGAATGAAATGAGAGATATTTATCATTAAACTGGGCTTCATTTCTGTTTAATCAAAGCACTGAATCAGCTGTTTTGTCTCTAGGTCCGGCATACTTTGAAGCATGAGTTCTTACCAGCAGAAGCAGACCTTTACCCCACCCCCTCAGCTTCAACAGCAGCAGGTGAAACAACACAGCCAGCCTCCACCTCAGGAGCCATTTGTCCCCATAACCAAGGAGCCATGCCACCCAAAGTTTCCACAACAACCCGGAAACACCAAGATTCCAGAACCAGGCTGCACCAAGGTCCCTGAGCAAGGCTTCGTCAAGATCCCTGAGCAAGGCTACACCAAGGTCCCTGAGAAAGGCTGCACCAAGGTCCCTGAGCAAGGCTTCGTCAAGATCCCTGAGCAAGGCTACACCAACGTCCCTGACCAAGGCTGTGTCAACATCCCTGAGCAAGGCTACACCAAGGTCCCTGAGCAAGGCTACACCAAGGTCCCTGAGCAAGGCTACACCAAGGTCCCTGAGCAAGGCTACACCAAGGTCCCTGAGCCACATCCTTCAACGGTCACTCCAGGCCCAGCTCAGCAGAAGACCAAGCAGAAGTAATGTAGTGCACAGACAAGCCCTTGAGAAGCTGACCACCAGATGCTGGACACCCTCTTTCCATCTGCTTCTGTGTAGACCTTGTAATCAGTTTACTGTCACCCCGAGTCATAGTCTCTCTCTTATTTGTATCCTAAAAATATGTACTTTGAAGCTTTTGTTCACACACACCCTGAAGAATCCTGTAAGCCCCTGAATTAAGCAGAAAGTCTTAGAGGCTTTTCAGGTCTTTAGCTGCTAAGGGTCCATCTGAAGATTTGAATGAAAAGAAATGCATGTTTCCTGCTCTGTCCTCATTAAATTGCCTTTAATTCCAGTCTTGGTTATGTGTGTCATTGGCTGAATCTTCCCCCTTCTTTGTTTCCCCATTGTGAGTCAGGATGTATAGACAGAGGGGAGTTGGTTTGAAGTCATCAATCTCAACCCAGTACTGTATGTTTCTATGTGTGTGTAGCGGGGGTACACTTGGGGGTGTGTGTAGGGGGAGTACACTTGGGTATTCTGCGATGGGGCATAGAGAGTGTCACTTTGGGCAGCCATAGGCTCTCCTCTTGCACTGAACTGAGCTATGCCTGAGTTCCGTGGTATCTGCTCCAAGCCACCTCTAATCCTTAGTATTCGTCCCACTGATTTCCTGTCTGTTCCTAGAAAACTGAACTTGATATTCTGTTTTTCTTTATTCATTTTACCTTCCAGATACCCCAACACGTACAGACATACACATACACACACACTCACTAAAAGGCAGATTCATTTTAGTCACACACTCACATAATCACTCGCACAAGCTCTCAAGGCAATGTTACCTTTTGCTGGGTATCTGCCATGTGCAAGGAGGTCTGAAGCTGGAGGATCAAGAGGGCGAGGAGGATGCACAGTGCCTGTTGCATGATTTGCAGTCTTGTCTAGAAGTTAGGACATTCACATCTTTCTCACACAAAAAATACACACTATACAGTCTCTCTCTCTTTCTCTCCCTCATCCTTTTTTTCCTTTCTCTTCCCCAGAATAATCTCACAGAAACAGATTTATCCAGTAATTCCAAACAAGACATGGGTTTTAAGCAGGCATTAGGATTACACAATCTAGGTGAGGTGAATAACTGGCCACCAAGTTAGGAAAGAGCAGGTAATTAAGCTAGAAAACCTCGGAAGTGAAAGGAGACTTCAAGAGCACCTAGTAGAGCTGCTCCATTTATTGAATAAGGAAATCAATGCCCCACAAATTAATTAAGGTAACCCCAAAATTGTGTTTCTGCATCATCCTGGAGCATAATTCCTCAGACTCCCAGCTCCCCTCTCTCCTGCAGCCTTGTCTTTTTGATTTCAGGGATGACCAACAGGTTTGCAGGTCTGTGTTGAGTGGCTCTGGGACATTGCAGAATGATCTCTAACAGGAAAAAGAACGACAAAACTTCTGAAGGGTTACAGTAATCACTGGGGAACAAACTCCATTTCTTGATAAGTTGCATGGTCCATAAAATCAAAGGAGTGTGAAGCAGGTGACAGGTTACGCCTGCATGATACACAGGTACTGCAAATAGGTTTTGCAAGGCCTCAGAGATATTTGGAAATGATAAAACAAAAATTTTCCAAAGAATCATTACGAAGTGATGAGAAGTTGTCAAACTGGCAGGAGAGAATGATGTCACTTGGGTCTGTTAGGTATGCACATGATGAGGTGGCTTCAAATTACTGCTGATTCTATGATAGAAAGTCTAGAGATAATTTCAGGACCAATCACAACTAAGTAGGCTGATTCTGGATGGGGAAGTGGCCTCTGTGATACACGGCTATTATGAATGTAAAGTCATGCACTTGCTTGTTCCCATTGCTTGAAGCTGCTTTTTAAAAATACATATTTACTGTGGAAAATATATCTCCCACATAAAAATGGTGATTTAAAGCATTTTTATGTGTGCTTTTTTGGTATTCATTCCATTTACAATGTTGTGTGTCTTTGTTAAGATATATATGTATGCATGTGGGTTGATGGAAGATAAAAAATCCTGATTCTAAATACAGCAAAGTATAAACAGTGGTTATTTCTGGCTGTTTTATGTTAGTGATCATTTTAATAGCTCTTTGTTTTCCACATTATGAATTATATAATATATTTTTGGGGGGGATGGAATCTTGCTCTGTCACTCAGGCTGGAGTGCAGTGGCTCAAGCTCAATCTAGGCTCACCACAACCTCCGTCTTCCTGGCTTAAACGAGTCTCCGGCCTCAGTCTCCAGAGTACCTGGGATTACAGGCATGCACCACCATGCCCAGATAATTTTGTACATTTTTTAGTAGAGATGGGGTTTCACCATGTTAGTCAGGCCGGTCTCGAACCCCTGACCTCAGGTGATCCACCCTCCTCAGCCTCCCAAAGTGCTCACATTACAGGCATGAGCCACCACACCCAGCTATACAATTTTATTTTCATAAAATTTATTATAATATTAAAAAATAGAAGTTAATCAAGATGTTGCTGAGCTAGAGGAAAAATATGTTTTCTACTCAATACAAACCTTCCTGAGGCTCTGCACAGGTCCTGTATGAGCATCCTAAGGGTGTGGGCCTCTTCCTTCTTGAGGTTGATTATGGTGTCTCTCCTCTCCACACATCCCATTCCAATGCCTGATCTTCTGCTGGGGTCCCTGGAATATCCCAACATCCTATTCACCCTGACAGCCCAGGTCACCTCTTGCCCACTGACTTTGCAAATAGATGTCTTGTCTTAGCTGCTTCATTCACCTCATCTTTTCTCCTCCTCTGTGACTTGGCAGGACCCCACCGATCTAGCCATTTAGGGAGCAGCATGCTGCTTCTTCATGAAGGTCTGAAGAACCGAAGAAGTCAAGACTATGCATAGTTTGGCAAATTTCAGGTTCACAGCCTAATTGCTGATCTCAACTTGTGCAGATAAATAAATGTTCATTTGGTTTCTCTTCATGTTCTTCCTTATTTTTTTATACTTTCATGTTTCTTCCTCCTCCTAAGGCTGTGATTTCCATAACTGCTGGAAATTTTTCTGGCTCAGATAAAAACTAGCTATTAAGAGAATTCCTGTACTTTCATATTTCTGGCTGAGAAAAGTCTCATGACAGGTCTAGGTCAACCACTTTTCCAATTCATTCTTTGCCAGCCTCCAACTTAATTTTCTCAATTTTATTCCATCTCATCTGCCTGTTCTTTGTTATGCTCTATATTCAATCTACCACCTCACACCTGCCACCTTATATACTCTGTAAGCACCAATTGGCAAACCTGGGAAATTAGCCAGATGTGCAGCAGCCTATCCCAAACTGCCCTGTATTTCCCACACCATGTATTCATCACACCCAAGATCCCTGGACTCACATCTGACTTTGGACCATGAAGCATGAAGGTAAAAACCTTCTCTGTCTTGCTCAGAATTTCTCTGTAGACTCAGTGTCCAGCCTACTGCCTGCCAAATGATAGGAGCTCATTTAATGTCAGCTTGGATGTTGAGAGCTTTATATAATACCTTCGCTGAACAATGCAGTGGATTTGAAGAGAACATTCGCACTACACTTTTTGAACCCAGAACCCACCTGCCCTCTGGGAATGCCTTGAGCCTAATCCCTCCCAAATCTCATTCTCCTCCCTATGAATCTAAAGCAGCAGGCTCATAATAGCAAAGCACCTGCTGTTTCCTATCCACACCTGCAGTTCCCTTGGAAAGAGGTGTCCCCAGAAGATTGGAAGCAACCTGAAGGCAGGTTATCTCTCCCAAATCTAACTGGAGTGATCTTAAGTTGGAGCTTGTCCTTTGCCCATGTAAATTTTATGGAAACAATAGGGGTTCAAAACAGAAGACCCCGTACCAGTTTCCTATAGAGAAAAAATTCAAGAAATGTGACAGAATTATAGTTTCTATAATTACTTTTCAATTTAACATTTTTATCACACCCTAGTAAGCAACGTTCCCACCACCAAAACCAAGAAATAAATAATAATCAAACAAAACTTACTACTCATGTCACATGTGTTTGTCAGGGTATGTTATCCTCTGTGACAAAAGTCTGGGAAATGTCTGTGACTTCATACAATAGAAATGTTTTGTGTGTGCTGTAATCTATTGTGGGTTGGCAGAGACTTGGATTTCTTCAGTTCCATGGCTCATCACCATCAACAGGCACTCTTGCTGCATTCTACTGTGCAGGCAGGGAAAGAAATGGCAGGTGGGGGGAAGCACACTTTCTCTTAACTTTCTGGATATGGAGACAACACGCTGCATTTCCAATGACATTAGCTAGATGTCAGCCACATGCTCCCATCCAGCTACACATGGTTGTGTGCCCAGAAATAAATGAGAATTGGTTATCTGTAAACTCTCAACTCTCTATCACAGTTGAGCCTTCTGCTTGCTAAAAGTCTACTTATTTTCTTATTTCTACCCACAGACACATTCACCTCTTCCCCAAGAGAGACAACACAAGGACCAATAAAGTCTCTGCATCGACTTCCAAGTTCAGGATCTCTGGGTGATATACAAATCTCCCCATCATATTCTCTTCATGTGGGCTGTTCTTAGACCAGTAAACTAGTAAAAAGATCAATCCTTTTCATTCTTGCCACAATCCAGTTTGCAATAGTGGAGCAGAAACAGGATAACCTGAGTAGAAACTTCCAAGAGAAAACAGAAGAAGGTGGGAAACTAGTATCTGATCTACAGCAATTCTGAAATCCCTCTGGGAAGGCATGCTGAAGCCTACCCTTTTAACTGATACGATGAAAATTCTTTGATATGACATTGGCTTTACTCTCTGGAAGGTGATCCTGTTCCCTGAGCCTTGTTCCTTTCTCATTAGCCTCCCCTGAAGGAGGTTGTGTGCCCTCCTCTGGAACAGTGCAATTTGGGCTATTCTTCCTGCTTCGATGTCACTTTAGGACTTTGAAATGCACTCTTTGGTAGCCTGGGCTCATGGTTTCTTAAACAAAACAATTTCATCAAAAATTTAGCAGGCTTCTAATTTGTTTCCAGTCAAATCGTTTCTCACAGAGAATTTGCAACTGCCACCCCACCTCTTTGGTACCCCCAGTTGCTTACTCTACTATTCCTTTTTCATAGTATATTTAATATATAATTTACATAGTCTTCATGTTTCTTTATTGTCTATTTCCAACCTCCCCTAAAGCATGTAAGCTCCATAAGGTCAGAGATATTTCTTTTGTTTTTTAATTTGTTAATTGTTCATTTATCAAGAGAAACTATTTCTTAGCCCACATATTCGTGTGTCATGGTTCAGGAACCCGAGTCAGTGACAAACTTCTAGGTAATTCAACCTGAAGAAATTCTTTCT